ATACTGATCTCACCTGAGTCTCACCTGAGTCAGGGGTTCCTTCAGTAATGCTGAAGAATTGTGTGAACAAATGAAAAAGTGTTCATAGACCTATTAAATGATGCAGGTAGTGCCACCTACACAATGCTCTCCTCTCTGGAAAAAAACAACCAACAACCTTGTCTTTTATGACCAAAGTCTCAAATGGCTTTTACATTTCATTGCCTCTAAGAAATGCCTTACAGACCTTTTGACATCCTCAGTTACTTTCCATTAGATATGGTTTTCATGTCGAAGATTGCACACACACACACTGCAAACAAGTCAACAGTGGCCATCTACCATCAACACTTATGTAAGTGGCACTGATTCAGTGGGTCTGGTCTAGTTGCACCAATAATTGGATTTAGTATTTCTTCTTTTTAAAGTATCAGCAACAGCAGCACAAAGCAGGTGTACAGTTGCAGGTATGAACTGCTCCAGAAAGCTGCTACTGTTATCTTATCTGGGGACAGATAACTGAAGGAAGACTTGGCATCCTACTGGTGAACTTCCAAAGTGCAGCCCAGTGGTCAGATTGAGCACTTCTATTGCAGTTTTAGATTAACTGTAGTTCAGCTTTGCATGAAGATCCTAAACTGTGGTTCATCTGAACTATGTTTTTTAAAACAAGCCAGCCCTTAAACTACTATTTGAAGCTGGCTTGTTTTAACAAACCATCATTAAGATTAAACACAGCTTAGTCAAATAGTCTGATTAATTTAATACAGAAGTGGAAATTTCCCCACTCCTCCTCGCCAGAGGAGAAAAGGAACATGTGAGCCGAGGGAGAGACTTATGTTAAATCTGAACCAGCCCATTACTACAGTTGCTAGGCAAGGCACTAGTCAAGGTTTATCTCCTTACTAACATTACCCTCCTTCTCAGGAAGGTGTAATTTAAAACTTATTATTTATGTAAAACATTCCTATCTTCCTTTTTGGTCCCTGGGCCATCACAGAGGTTTAAAGAGATTTATCTAGCCAGCTGTATGTAGAGATTAATTTGTATCTATGATGTCAAAAAGGTATCCAGGGTGACCTTCTGTTTCAAACATATTTTTGTTGTTGATGTTGTTTGCCTACAAGTCATTTCCAACTTATGGCAACCCTGAGGCAAACCTATCACAGGGTTCTTGGCAATAATCGTTTAGAGGGGGGTTGCCATTGCCATCCCCTGAGGATGAGAGACTATTTCTTGCCCAAGGTCACTAAGTGGGTTTCCATAGTTGAGTTGGAATTCAAATCCTACTCTCCAGAGTCATAGTCCAATGCTTAAACTCCTAGGCCATATGGCTCACTGACAAGACATTTCTCAGAATAAAGCATGGGTAAAACAACAACAACAACGTATTTTACCCATGCTGTATTCTAAGAAATGTCTTGGGATCTCAGAAGGTCTTGTGTGAATTGTTTGCCTCCATGGATTAAATAGTGATGTACTGTAGTTTCAAGAGAAGATGACCATGGGAAGATAGCTGGGTGTGGTTCAGACTCTCTCCCCATATGCCTAGTTCATGTGCCAGTTGCATGATAGGTTACCAAACACCCACAATCAGAGTTACGCAACAGACGCAAGTGCTCAAGTCAGAATCAAGAACCAGGAAACATTTCTTTCAAAAAGCAAAACACAAAATGACTTGAGGAATAAGAATAAGGGAAAGGAAACAGGGAGGTTGGGGACCAGAGCTGAAGCACTCCTTCAAAACCAAACAGTTATGCATTTTACCTACTCAGTGTCATTTTAATGCCAGGCAAGCATCCAGCACTGCTGTTAGAAACAGGCTGTGAAGTGCTAGCTAACTGCACAGTTCACAAATGCAGCTCATCTCCCAAATGTACAGGCTGAATGTGCATAAAAATATTTCTGTGTAAAGGGAATTTTGTAGTTTTTTTTAAATTCAATGAAGGACTAAAAAACTCCAAGAATCCCACCCAGGGCAAAGAGAATCTTGTTGCCAATTCCCCATACCCGTAACTTATATGTGCTCTACTCATGTTGGCCCACCAAAATTTCCTCTTAAATAATCCAGTCAAACAGGCAGCTCAAGACATTTGGTTGCCTGAGGTTGAACAGCAAATGGTGCCTCCTGCCCACCCAAGTCAGCGTGCATAGTACCAAAGCCAGCCAAGTTATGTTGGCACAGGCGGCAGAAAAATCCCTCAAGTGCTTCTGGCAGTACAAACACAGGAATAACAAATTAAAACACTAACAATTGGCTGCCCTTTCATGACATCCTAAATGTGATACTGGAAGTAGCAGGCTCCCTTTGCCTCATGGCTGGGCTGGCTCTGAATCCAGTATACTGAGCTAGCTCTTCTATTCAGATGATACGTAAGATGCTGGAAATGACCATAGGGGCACATCTCACATAAGGACCAGGTGGAGGGTCCTGTTATGGTGTCCTAACAAGCAGAAAGAAGTATACACACAAGCAGAAATGGCATGTTTCCTTAGCCTGGACAATGCTGGATCCATAGCTAGACGGGTATAATCCCAGTCTTGAATAGTGTTGATCACCTGACAAAGACAGAATAGCCAAGATGGGAGACAGACTACTCATCCCTTCCCCATGACGACTACTGCTACTAAGAACAAATTGGCAATCGTACAAAGCCCAGGATGCTGTACTGATTTATTTTGTTGTTGTTGTTGCTATGCTATGGCACATAATGGCAACCCTATCATAAGATTTTCTTGGAGGTTCAGTGGAGGTTTGCTATTTCTTTCCTCTGAGGCTATGGAGTGTGACATGTCCAATGTCTTCTGGTGAGTTTCCATAGCTGAATGGGGATTCAAACCCAGGAAACCAGTGCTATATCATGCTGGATCTCAATTATTTATTTACAGCCACAGTTAAGAGTCCTATTCAAGAGTTCCAGATCTGTGTTGTTTAAACTCATGAGGACTGGAATGCACTAGGCCCACACCCTTCATTGTCACTTAGTGCCCCCCCCCCCACACACACACAGGGTGGAGGTGAGCAAACTCCTGGAGAATCCCGGGTTCTTGTTCATGCAGTGATGGTGTTGCTATGGCTAGAGTATGCAATAACACACTATGGGAATACCCATTTGTATACATGTTTCCTGAAACTAGAGCCAAATTTTATGGAGATTCACGTACTCCCACTGTGCTCTTTCAGCATGAAAAAGATGACAACCATCAGACGTTTTCTTCTTGCTTTTAGCACATATTTTTAAAATACAATTCAAGAGAGGTTGTGTCAGAATCAAGGCCTCTCTAAAAATCAAATCTAGATTTCAGCTAACAGTTTTTTTTTCTTGATCTGAAGTCAAAAGGGCTCCTGAAAGAACACATGCTTCCAGACAATTCATCACTCAACTGTTTATTCACACAGCCTCAAATTTCATTTGATAAGACTGTACAGTTCCTATTGTATAGTTCCTAGGAGTCCATTTGTGGACAAAAATGGAACATTGTAGGGAAAGTTGCCTAAGATACAAAACTGTTACCAACTTAAATTCAGTGACTGCAGCCTGGATATTTATAGGAATGGCATATTACAACAACAAATTGAGGGCATGAAAATGATTCATTAAATCAGTAATACATTAAAGATTTCATTAATTAATTCCAAACCTATTATTTTAGCAGTGATGTTAATAGTTTGGTATAACAAAACCTACAAAACAACAA